GGGAGCTGTACTTTGGGGGTCGGGGCCTGCTGGGAGCTGTAGTTCGGGGCTGGGGCCCGTAGTTCGAGGGGCGGGGCCTGCTGGGAGCTGCAATTTGCATTGTCCCCCATTCCCGTGGGTCACACCATAGGCCCCAAGGTGGCCCCTACGCCATTTGTAACAGCGCCACCTGGAGGCTTCTGGCAGAACAGCGATAAGGCGCAGCTCACGTGCCCTGGAGACTGAATTCCCTCTGGGGTCTTTGCTGAGCCATTCTGTACCCCAGGGGTTCCCAACTGGGGTCATGAGGTGATTACATGGGGGAGGGGTTCTCGCAAGCTGTCACCTCCAGCATTTATAATAGTATTCAGGGCCGGTCGAAGGCACCTGCTTAACAAGGAGATGCTTGGGGCAGCCAAGGGAGGGGAGCGGCACGTGCGGCAATTCGGGGGCGGCAGGTCCCTCACTCCCTCTAGGAGCGAAGGACCTGGCGCTGAACTGCTACCGCCGATCGCGGCTTTTTTTTTTTTTTTTGCTGGGGGTGGCAGAAATGCTGGAGCCGGCCCTGATAGTATTCAATATAAAAAAGGTGATTTTAATTTCTAAGGGGGATTGCACTCAAAGGCTTGCTGTGTAAAAGGAGTCACCAACACAAAACACAAAAGTTTGAGAACCACTGCCCTGGCTTCCCTGCTAATGCCCCCCTCCCCTCTAGGGGGCAGAGGAGAGCTCTGTCCTCATGAGCTCTGTCCTCATGGCCTGTTCAGCTAGGGTTACCATATTTAAAAATTAAAAAAAGAGGACACTCCACGGGACCCTGACCCCGCCCCTTCCCCAAATTCCCCGCCCCAACTCCGCCCCCCCCCCGAGCGCCCCGCATTCCCCCTCCTCCCTCCCAGCCATGCAAAACAGCTGCCCGAGCACTACCGGCTTCCTGGGCAGCCCCCAGACCTCCAGACCCTGCACCCCCGGCCGTGCACTTCTCCTCCCTGGCTCCGACTGCGCTGGGGAAGCGCCCGGCCGGGGGCGCAGGGTCTGGAGGTCTGGGGGCTGCCCAGCAAACCGTGAAGCCGGTAGCACTGGGGCAGCTCCGCTCTTCCGCTACACAAAGCTGAGGTGTCTGGGGGGAGCAGCACCAGCCGCCGCCGCGGGGGAATTCGCCTGCAGCTCGCAGCCTGCCGGAGCCGCTCTAAGGTAAGCAGGGGACTAGTATTTTCCTGGA